TCACTTGAATCTCTTGTGAGTTAACTATTCACATCTGATTCTCAGTTGTCAGAGTTTTTCCTTATATTTTAGAAGATATATTCCAAAGACATGAATCCCTTGTCTTCCACATATATCACAAACATCACTGTTTTTTTTTAACTGAGAGAAAATTATATTGCCAAAATTTTCATCTTTTTCCTTTACTGTTTTGTTTTTATGTTTATATAAAAGGAAAAAATTGGCTTTTAGGCAGAGAGAATGTGAGCAGCTTGGGCAAAATATGGACACAGAGAAATTGAAAGAAAGATAGCCAACTTTCTCAGCACAATTAAGTAGATCAGTGGTTCTTAAAGTGTGGTCCCACCAGCAGGCAACATGTGCATTACCTGGGAACTTGTTACAACTGCAAATTCTCAGGATCCACTCCAGACCTCCTGAACCCAGAAACCCTGGGTGTGAACCACAGCAGCTGTGACAAGCCTTCTAGGTGGTTCTGATGCACGAAGCAAGGAGATAGGGAGGTGGAGTCTGTGGCTGGCTGCTCAGGTGACCAGAGGAAGGAGCCCTAGACCAGGGAGACAAGGGGAGATGGGACGAGGTTCCAGGAAGGAGTCCAGACCCCAGTAACAGCCATCTCGGGACTAGAGAGAAAAAAAACTGCTGCAGGGATGGTTTAGGGACTTTATGGAATTAAATATTCAATTTCAAATTGTGCTTCATTGTAAGACATCTTTGTCTTACCACACCTTCAGGACAAGGCTTACGACGGCTTCGTGTGGGGGACGTTTGGGGCGTAAAGGAGAAAGAATGGGGATGAGCCATGGAAGACGTCAGTACCCACCCAAGGAAGGCAGTGGGGCCAAGAGTTCAGTGAGAGCAAAAATTTTGAGAACAAAGTAACCAGGGATACACAAGGAACCCCCGAAACTACTACACATCTAAGAAGAAGGGGAAAAAAATCAGACTTCTCCCAGCAGATGGGATGAGGAGCTATGTTGCCTTGTGTACATATTAAGGGTCATCACCATGAGGCTGAAGGACTCCGAACATTCAGGTTATGCTTCAAATGTCTTTCTTTGTCTCATCATAATAAACATTCACCCATATATTTTCCCCTAGGTTGCTTTGTAGTTTTTATTTTTTGCATTTAACTGTTTAACATAGTTAGAATGTATCTTGGTAGGTAGGCGGCATAAAAGACCTTTTTCTACCCAGATCATTAACTAATTGAGCAACATTTGTTAAATAGCTTCCTGCTCTCTGATTTATAATAGCCTCTTCATCACGGGCTAGGGTCTGTTTCCAAGCTCTCTGTTCTGTCCCATCAATCTATGTGTCTATCTCCGAGTCCACACACATTTTTATGGTATTAATAGTACGTTATAGTATTATGCTTGCTCCTTTGGAAGAGTGTCTTCCTCTTAGAGTCACAGATAAAATGCAGGATGCCCAGTTAAATTTGAATTTCAGATTTATTTTTACTTGCTAAATCTGACAACTCTTCTTCCATTTCATTGTTATTTTTTTCCCCTTCAGTATTTCCTTAACTATTCCCATCCATTTATTCTTTCATGGGTGTTTGAATCACATTATCAAGTTCTTACAAAATCATTCTATTGAGTTTTAATTAGATTGCATTAAATATATAAGTTTAGAGATGTTTTGGGTTTTTTGTTTGTTTTGTTTTTTGTGGGGTTTTTTGGTGTGGTTGGTTTGTTGTTTTTGTTTTGCCAATTTTAGTTTTTCTTTCCAGAAACATGGATATGGTGTATCCCTGAACTTAATCGAAGCTACCTTTATGTCTTTTGAGAAAGTTCTTCAGAATCTTCTGTTTGTTTTGTTTTCATTTGTATTGCTTTCATAGGTCGTGAACATTTCTTGTGAGGCTCATTCCTGGGTATTTGTGCATTTTTGTTTATTTGCTGCTTTTATAAATCTTTTTTTCCAACATATTTCTAACTTTTTGTCTAGTATAGAACATTTCTCTTTTTTAATTTTTTAAAATTTTATTAGTATAGAACATTTCTACTTTTTGGGTACTTTCAGTTTTTTAATGATTAAAAATATATATTCATTGTAGATAAAAAGCAAATAGTCCTGAAATGTTAAAAGAAAAAGGAAATGTGTCTCATTCATTCCTAGGGTCTCACTCACCACTATCACAAATCTCAGTCCTCAATGATAATAAATGCTGACAAGTCTGTGTATACTTGCAGGCATTTTCTATGCATCTAAAATGTGATGTAAAATACATTTTTAAAAATTTGTGTGCATACACATTTTTGTACACATGGGATCTTACTATGCATATTGTTCTTTGAATCTCCCGTCCCCTTTTCTTAAATTTAATTTGGTTGCATGGGGCTAAGCGGGAGCAGGGACATTTCGAGGAGCCGTGCTTGGGGAGAATTGCCGGGCACCAGGGCCGGGTCAATGCCTGGGAGATGCAGCACCAGCGATGTCAGGACCCAGCTGCTAGTGCTGCATGCGCTCCCGGGTCCCCAGTATTTTCATATTAAGCCAACTGAACCAAACTCTTTCATTAGTTCTAGAACTGTATCAGGTGATTCTCTTGAATTTCCAGATAAGACAAATATGACATTTGCAAATCATTATAAGTTTTTGATCTTTATAATTTTATTTCCTTGCCTTAAACTATTTCTTTGGCTACAGCTTTCTGAATAATGTTATATACCAGCAGTAAAAGTAGCACTCACTTTGAGTGTACACCATTAGAACAGGGATCATAAATTCAAATGCCTGGGGTGGAGGGCAAGCATGGGCAGTTTAACTGAGTAAAATTAGTCTACGAAAAATAAGGGACCACAAGGAATATCGTGAACTGGGGAGTTCACACTCCATCCAAAGAGGAAGCATATGCTCACCTCCTGCTGGCTGGAGGAATATGGCCCATTATTGCCAACTCTAGTTTGTGATGCTGAAAATCTAGTTTTTTATGTGTAAGCTCCACTTTTTAAAATATTGGCAATTTGGGCACCTGGGTGGCTCAGATGGTTAAGCATCTGCCTTTGGCTCAGGTCATGATCCTAGGGTCCTGGGATCGAGTCCCGCATCGGGCTCCTTGCTCAGCAGGGAGCCTGCTTCTCCCTTTCCCTCTGCCTCTACCCCTGCTTGTTCTCTCTCTGTCTCTCTCGCAAATGAATAAATAAAATCTTTAAAAAAATAAAATAAATAAAAGATTGGCAATTAATTCAACTTTTAAAAACTATTCAAAATATATCTGTGGGTTATATTTGGCCGGCAGGTCTCTATGCTCTAGTTTTAGCATTAAGCATGATGCTGGCTCTTTGTAAGAGATACTCTATAATATCAAAAGAGTTTTTGGAGATATGATATTAAATGTCTCTGTGAGAGTTCACAAACCAGAAAGTTGAGAGCAATCTACAAAGCCATGGGAACAAAGCGTGTACAAGTCAGCAATGGATAAGGAAGTAGGCTGGGGTACCCACCTGGGCAGAGTGCATGCGCTTAGGAAACCCTTCCTGACAAATTGTAACTGCTCCCCACAAATTTCCCTTTCACAAAACTCTGGGTTTTGTGGATTTACTTCTGCACAGTTTCCTATAGTCACTAGAATTTTAATATGCTCAGAACAAAATATAAATTTTTCTGAATCATAAAACCAGAAAGGCAATGAATACTGAAAGGTGGACCAGCCACAGGGAAAAATTTTAAATCTCAGTATGTTCATGGTCTCCAACAAAGCAAAACCAACTTACTGGCACCATATGGACAGTGTGAAGGAAGGAGTCTTTGAGGAGTTTCTCATTAAGAAGGTATGATAAATGAAGATTAATTATACAATATGCACATCTTTAAGATTATATCCTCTGCATGATGTGCTGGGGTTATTCTTTTTATTTTGCTAACTCTAAAAATTGTTTATGGGACTATACTCACTTTACCCATGATCTTTCCTTGACTATAAAATATCCCTCACATTTTGGAAGACCACATTATAGTAAGCATTTGGTAAAAATCTGTTGAATGAATGACATAATTAAAGAATACCAATGAAAAAGCTCATTCACCAGAAAAAGCTAGATCTTAAATAGCAACTCTAATTTTTATTCTTCATGGCATTGACTTTAACCCCCCACTCTAACCTTAGTCCTAATCCTAACAGTGATTTTAAAAAAAAGATAAACCTTGACCCAAATAATGAGTTTAATAGTCCTCCCCTGATCCTAATCTGAAACCAAGAATTTGCAATCTCTATACTTCCAAGGGAAAACAGAAAATGGGGTGAATAACAGAACAGCAAAGCTGTGTCAGGAAAAGAAAAACCATACCTAGAGGCCAGAGAGGAGCACAGTGTACGGCGCCTCGCTGATTTGGCATTCACCGTTTTCATCACCATGACCCTCAACTAAATCCTGAACCCAATCCCAATACCATCCAAGCTACTATGGGGACATATCTCACAGTGCCTCCATCTGCCAATCCAAGCTTCCTCTTAAGAACCAAACATGGCCATCAGAAAGGATGAATACCCAACTTTTACATCAACATGGATGGGACTGGAGGAGATTACGCTAAGTGAAATAAGTCAAGCAGAGAAAGTCAGTTATCATATGGTTTCACTTATTTGTGGAACATAAGGAATAGCATGGAGGACATTAGGAGAAGGAAGGGAAAAATGAAGGGGGGGGGTGGAATCAGAAGGGGAGATGAACCATGAGAGACTATGGACTCTGAGAAACAAACTGAGGGTTTTAGTGGGGAGGGGGGTGGGGGGATGGGTTAGCCCCGTGATGGGTATTAAGGAGGGCACATACTGCATGGAGCACTGGGTGTTATACGAAAACAATGAATCCTGGAACACTACATCAAAAACAAATGATGTATTGTATGGTGACTAACATATCATAATAAAATAAAATTAAAAAAAGAAAAGAGCCAAACATGAAACGAGTGTGCAAATTCCTTACACACCCCTGTGTGTAGACACCCAATCAATTACATATCTTCAAAACTCTTCAAATAGGCAGATCACAATGCAGGAACTCAACCAGTCCACCGTGACAGAATTCATTCTATTGGGCTTTGCCCCTAACCCCAGGACCAACCCTCTGCTCTTCACCTTCTTTCTCATCTTTTACCTGCTCATCCTTGTGAGCAACAGCCTCCTTATCACTCTTATCCACCAGGACTCCCGCCTGCACACACCCATGTACTTTTTCATCAGTGTCCTCTCCATGCTGGACATGTGCTACACAGCCACCACTGTGCCCCAGTTGCTCGGGCATATCCTCAGCAAGAAGAGGGCCATCTCTTTTGCTAGGTGTGTCGCCCAGATGTACATCTTCCTCCTCTTTGGGGTCACTGAGTCCTGGCTCTTCTCCATCATGTCTGTTGACAGGTACATGGCCATCTGCCACCCTCTCCAGTACAAGGTCATCATGAGTCGCTGGATGTGCCTCCTCATGGTGGGCATCTGTGCAGCGTACGGTGTGGTGGGTGGCCTGTGCTATACCTTCTTTGTTGTGCGCCTGCCCTACTGTGGCCCTAATGTAATTGACCACTACTTCTGCGAGGTCTCTGCCGTCCTGAAGCTGGCCTGTGCAGACACATCCCTCAATGACTTGGTAGACTTCATCATGGGCTTCAATGTCATCGTGGTCCCCCTGACCCTGGTTATCATCGTTTATGCCAACATCTTTGCCACCATCATGAAGATCCGCTCAGCCCAGGGACGGAACAAGACCTTCTCTACCTGTGCCTCCCACATAACTGTGGTCACCATTTTCGCCATTCCATGCATCATCATGTACATGAGCCCTGGCTCTGACTCCTTGTCAAACAGTGGCAAGAAAATGGCCCTTTTTTATAACATTGCCACAGCCTTCCTCAACCCTGTCATCTACAGTCTGAGGAACAAGGATCTGAAAAAGGCTTTCCTCAAACTTGGGATGGAGCAGGACCCCAGAGTAAGACTTTAAAGCGGAGGACCTGGGGAGCCCAACAAAGCAGGACTCACACGCACAACCCCGCCAAAGACTCTTCCAGGAGACCTAGGAGGCTGCACTCCCTAAAGTCACACCATCACCCTGGCCCAGTGGGAGGGAACTGGGCACTCAGACAACAGCAGTATCTCTAGTGATGTGGTTTGGGACAGAGGGGATTGTGAAGGTAGAGTACACTGGTCAAGAGCCGGGACCTCAGTGCCAGACAGAGCAGGATGAGAGACTTGATTTGAACAATTAATAGATATGTGACATTTTGCAAGTCATTTAACTTACTCTAAGGTTTATATCTCTTCCTCACAGGGAAGCTGTGACTATCAAATGAGATACTATATGAAACATGTTTAGTACAAGACTGGCAATAGCTTTCAACAGATACTAGTTTTAATCTTTAAAATTTCTCAGGATGAATTGTCAGCCTTGAATTAGCCATGATCGTCTTCCGGGCTATGGAAGTGACTGGAACCCTAGAGAGTAAAGAAAAAAAAAAAAGGAAGGGAGTGGAAGTAGGGGTAAAATCTCAAAAACCGAGAAGTGGAGAGTCTTAGGGGGAGAGACTCTAGAACAAGGAAGTGAACCCTTCTCTCCCCATCCACAAATTGTGTACCCAAAATTATCTTACAGTACCACTTTGTAGCCATTTGCTTCTGTGCTTTTGTATCTTCATACCTCTTGAATTTCCTTTTCCCCTTGTTACTAATAAAGTCCATTTTGGAAACCTACAAACTGCCTTGGGTGATGTCAAGGAAGAGAGACTCTGTCCACCTGAGGATGAACAAAATTAGGGGAACATCGGCATAATGTTCCCCCCAGATGGATGCAAAATTTAGGCAGTCCAGAGAGAGATTAAAATCTCCATGGGTAGTTTCTGCTCTGCTCTCTCTTGCTTGGAGATACCGTCCCTGAAACTCTGCTTACTCCTCATAGAATCTTTACAAACATA